GGGATGTTGGTTCTTTAGCGACCAGACTGGGCCAGGCCTGGGTGCTCGCGGCTGTTGGCAGCCAGTGCTGCCTCTGACTGGGCCCTGGCCCTCCTCTGGCTTCCAAATCCCCCCACCAGGAAGGGCCACTCAGAATCTGTCCCATGACTGGCATCCAGTTTCCCCTTTTCTCTCCTGAGACCAGGCCCAGGGAGCTATGGGGTGTGACGCCCCGATGGGGGAGGGGAGCTTCCTGCGGTGGGCCCATCCCCCCAATGCCCTAACCTCAGGTTCCTCCTAGCCAGCCCCAGCTCAGGCTCTGGTGGCGGGGTCTAGAAGTCCCTGTCTCCTCTTGGGTCGCCTTCCCTCCGTCCTCACTTCCAGCTACTTCCTCATTCCGTGGTGCAGTGCAGCCCAGCCCAGTGGTCGGCATGTTGTCCCCCGCTCGCCTCCCTCCAAACCCCCTATCCTGTGTCTGTGCTGTCTGTATCTGTGTCCCTGTCTATCCCTCTCTCTTCTTCTTGGCCTCGCCACCCCTTTCTCCTTCCTTATCTTTCCTCTTGGCTCTTTTATCCTTCTCTCTAAGGGTCAAATATCTGTCTTTGTGTCCTGTGTTTCCTTACCAAATTTATTTGCTGTGTGACCTTGGGCAAGTGTCTGCACCTTTCTGTACAGTGGGGATGACGATGACAAGAGCGTCTACCTCAGATGGCTGCTGTGGGATTAAAAGTGTTAACACCTTAGGACAGAATGCCTGCAGCTCATTAGTGCCCATATCCTGAGGGCTCTCTTAATATCCTATAAACATCACAAAGTTCTGATTATCAAATAATTATAGCTGGTGCTTATAAAAAGCTGATGAGTGTCAGACCCTGTTCTAGAGACATTAATCCATTCGCTCCCCACAAACCCCTACAAAATAGGCACTATTTTACTCCTTATTTTACAGATAAGGAAACTGAGGCCCAGAGAGGTTGGATGACTTGTTTAAGGTTGCCCAGCCAGGAAGAGGCAAAGGTGGCTTCAGTTATAGCTACTAACTTCCTGGTACACTGATGGCTGACCCCCGATTGGGCACATGGACCCTTTCCCCTTTTATGTCCAGTGGTTAGGGGCTACAGCATGGCCCCCTGGGGGTGTCTTGGCCTGATTCTTCCTGGCGTTATCTGTCTCTGTCCCTCCTCCTCTACTGTCCCCTCCTCCCTCCTGCCACCGCCCACCCCAGACTTCCTCCTTCACTTGGACGCAACACCACATCCCACTGGCCCTTGGACTCCGGTGTCCAGCAGTGTTGCCTGCGTCATGGGGGTCCTTGGACCTTCCACCAGGCTCCTGTTCCTGCCTCTCCTTCTGACTGTGGGTGGTGAGTTGGGGGCTATCACAGCTGCCTCCCGAGTCCCTGGGCTCAGCTTGGAGCAGAGCAGGGAGCAGGGTAGAGAGAGAACCAAAAAGGGAGATGGGGGAAAGCAGAGCCCCAGCCCCCCAAAACTTATGGCTGTCTCGCAGAGCCTGAGACCCCAAGATGTGGCCTCTGGTAGCAGCGGGGGAGGGGACTCTACCGGTGTTGCAACAGGACAAGTCGGGGTAGAAGTAACACAGTCAGTGACCTTGACACTGGCCTACAGGTCCCACCAGACACGGCTTTCCACTCCTATCTCCTGGCTCTCAGGACCCACCCTCCCCAGCTTCTGCACCCACCCTCCAGTCACAACCCCCGCCTCAATTTACCTTCTTTTTCTCTCCTCAGGTTTCAGCATTGTCCAGGCACAGGACGGTAGGCCTAGACTCTGTAGTCCTCCTCCCTACCTCCCAAAGAGCTCCCCATCTCTGTCTGTCCCCTAAGCTCTCCAAACCTTCCGCTGTTGACCCCTCCTCCCCGTTCCCAGCCCCTAATGACAACCCCCAACCCCTGTCTCACATTCTCAGGATGCAACTGCTCTGTGGTGAGTCCCGGGGTGCTGGCGGGGATCGTGCTGGGGGACCTGGTGCTGACCCTCCTCATCGCCTTGGCTGTGTACTCCTTGGGCCGGCTCTTCCCTCGGGGGCGAGGGACTGTGGAGGGTGAGTGGCTGTGGAGGGTGAGTGGGGCTGGAGGGGATAGCCTGGGACCCTTTGAGGGAGGGGTAAGCTCCCAAGTCACAACCAGCCAAAGGGACAATAATGGAAGGGCTGATTTTGTAGCAGCAAAAGGATCCCAGTTCACCGCCTTAACTCTGCATTTTGCACTACCCCCCAACCCCCCAACAGTGACCAGGAAACAGCGCATCACTGAGACAGAGTCGCCTTATCAGGTGAGAAAACCCCGCTTCTCTTCCTCACATCTCACGCCTACCCTGTGGGTGTCTGTCTTAAACACTTCCCCAGTCCTTCTAGAACCTAGACCCTAAAGCCAATTTCTCAGCAGCATTTCAAACCCTCAGAGACTCATGGAGAGCATTTGTCCAAAACTGCTTTCTTTTCTTCTTTTTTTTTTAAGATTTTATTTATTGGGGCGCCTGGGTGGCTCAGAGGGTTAAGCCTTTGCCTTCGGCTCAGGTCATGATCTCAGGGTCCTGGGATCAAGCCCTGCGTCAGGCTCTCTGCTCAGTGGGGAGCCTGCTTCCCTCTCTCTCTCTGCCTGCCTGTCTGCCTACTTGTGATTTCTCTCTGTCAAATAAATAAATAAAATCTTAAAAAAAAACTACTTATAAGATTTTATTTATTTGACAGAGAGAGACACAGTGAGAGGGAACACAAGCACAGGGAGAGGGGATGGGAGAAGCGGGCCTCCCACAGAGCAGGGAGCCTGATGAGGAACTTGATCCCAGGACCCTGGGATCATGACCCGAGCTGAAGGCAGCTGCCCAATGACTGAGCCACCCAAGCGCCCCCCCCCAACTGCTTTCAATGATCAATCATGACCTTATGATCAGCTTAAAACGTGTGAGGAAATACAGGGAGGGCTTTACCTTCGCAAGGGCAAATGCAGGCCTTAGCGAGAAGGCAGGCACGGAATTGTTCGGGACAGGATGATTTCTGGGAGAAGCTCTAGAAAGGCAGAGGACATGATTCAGCCCTAATTTGGTAATCTGAAAAGAGAAGTTTTAGACTTTTTTGGAAGATCCTGTATCCTTTTGAGAAGCTGACGAAAGCGAGAGACTCCTCAGAAAAATCCACACAAAAATTTACGAAATTGTGAGTATAATCTAGGGGTGGTACAGGGATCTTGAAACCCTTCTTAAGAACCACCATGCAGGGGCACCTGGATGGCTTAGTGGGTTAAGCACCTGACTCTTGATTTTGGCTTAGGTCATGATCTTGGGGCTGTGGGATCTAGTCCTGGCTGGTTCTGTGCTCAGTGGGGAGTCTGCTTGGGATTCTCTCTCTCCCTCTCCCTCTGCCCCTCCCCTCCCACTCTTGCTCTCTGTCAAATAAATAAATCTTTATTTATTTTTTAAAGATTTTATTTATTTATTTGACAGACAGAGATCACAAGTAGGTGGAGAGGCAGGCAGAGAGAGAGAGGAGGAAGCAGGCTCCCCGCTGAGCAGAAAGCCTGATGTGGGGCTTGATCCCAGGACCCTGGAATCATGACCTGAGCCCATCCCAGGACCCTGGGATCATGACCTGAGCCGAAGGCAGAGGCTTTAACCCACTGAGCCACCCAGGTGCCCCTAAATAAATCTTAAAAAAAAAAAAATTCTCCCCCTCCTTCCCCTCCTCCCTCTCCAGGTGTGCACACACATTCTCTCTCTCTCAAGAAAAAAACAAAACAAAACAAACAACCTCCAATCAGAGGTATCTTTCCATTGCTTGCCTCTTTATCAATGCCTTTCCCAACTCTTTAGGGGGTCAAGGGCTCCTGTGAGAATCTAATGGAGGCCAAACAGACCCCTTCCCATAAAGGTGCATACCCAGACCAGTCATTTGCATATGATTTCAGGGACTCAGTCTGAGGGCTGCCTCTTGGGGCCATTAGACCCCTCCTCCCAAAACTGTAAGCCTTTTTCTGTGAAGTCTCTTACTTATTTGCAGCCAGCTTTGCTTTGTGTCACTTGTGGATAAAAAGTCTCTTTGTAAAGCACAAGCCTCTTGAGTTTGGCTTTGTGAGGTCCAGAAGAATGAGGGAACTTTTCAGTCATCAGGGGCCGTGAAATTTTAGGGCAAGACATTATTCCAATTTATTCATCCTTAGGTGGAATTTGTTGAGCCCCTACACAGCAACAGAGTTTACATCCTAGGAGATGGACCTGAAGAAAATTAAGAAATAAGATAATTTGAGGAGGAAATAACAACTGGTGTGACAGGGCCTGAAGTGTGTGTGTGGTGGGGAGAAGTTAGATGGCAAAATCAAGAAACACTTCTCTGAGGAAGTGACATGAGCTGAGACTTGAAAGGGGAGAAGGAACCATCCATGGGAATATCCAGGAAAGCGGTGTTCGGGCAGAGAGAACAGCTTGTGCAAAGGCCCTGAGGCTGGTGTATAATGATGAGGCAGAGGAAACAGGGAAACACTAAATGCAGTTGATTAAAATCCAGATCTTTTCCATGGCTGCAAGGTTGAAGAGGCTGCTAGGAGACGTATAGGCCACTGGGAGAAGGCTGAAATTTTTTTAAGTTTATTCAGTGGACCTTACACACTAACAGTACCCACCCTGTCCCTCCCATTAGGAGCTCCAAGGTCAGAGGTCAGATGTCTATAGTGACCTCAACACACAGAGGCCATATTACAAATGAGCCCACATTGCAGCAGTCAACAGCCTGATGCCTGGATCCAGTCATTCCTGATGCCTCCCCAGCACCCTATTCCTACTCCCACCAAGATACAGATCCTCAGAGTGCCCTGCCTGAGGGGTCAGACTTCTTTCCACTACTGCCCCCAAATAAACATGGCACACAAAAACACTGTTGAGTTATTCCAGATCTCTCGGCTGAGGGGGCAGGGCTATGTGGGGTTCTGGAAGATCATGGACCCAGAAACAGCTAAGTGGGAGGGAGGCTTTGGGCACCCTGGGATTCTGTGAGGAAGAATCAGAACCAGAGGTAGTTCAATAGCTTTATTCCACCCTAAAGTGGGGAGTGCATTTCCTGTGTGGCGGCACACAAAGCGGGATGAGAGGGTCCAACATCAAAGGTCTCACTTACAGGGGGATCAGCCCCTGCTGAGCATGTTGATGTAGACTTTGTCATCTTCTGGGGGTGGGGGAGAGAAAGCATGAGGCCTGACCACCTACCGCCCACCCACATCCCCACCTTCCTGGGGACCCCCTGCCTCAGGGGTTTCCTCTGGAGTTCCCCCCTGCACCGCCCCCAGGGTTTCCCCAGCATCTCCTCCAGGGCTTCCCTGGGGGACCCCTCCCTGGGGACCCCCGCTCTAGGGACACCTCTCCCTCCGGGCCCCACCCTGTCTCTGCCCTCACCTAGGGTGGGCCGGTGGCGCGGGCAAGCACACGCAAACACGACTGCGATGATGAACAGCGACACCAGGGCGTCGGCGGCCATGAGCCCTGCCAGCACTGGCAGAGAGAGGGGCCCACATCCGGAACAGGAACCTGGAGGGTGGGGGCCGAGACAAGAAGGCAGTTGAGGGAGGTTCCAGACCCTCAGGGCTGCACTTGGGGCCAATGGGGCTGAGGAAGTCCCTGGGGGGGAGGCAGGAGTGTCTGAGATACCCTGAGGTTGACTTGGGGATGAAAAGGGAGGTGGGGGCCTGGAGAGAAGCGGGGTGTGGGGTGGGGGGGATCCTAGCACAGAGAGACATACATGGTGCTTTGGGTATAGTGGGTACTCCCAAAGAAGGCTGGGGGGTGGCCGAGTCCTTGGGGCTTCATTTTGGTGATGAGGGCAGTGAGATGGGGACCTAGAGAGGACTGTAGATCCCCTGCGGGTTCTGATTTGGGGGTGAGAGGGGAGCTGGTGACCTAGACAGGATCCTCAGGCCACACTTCAGGGATGAAAGCAGTACCATGGCACAAGGGAAGGGGTGCTAATTTCTCACCTGGGGTCATCAGAGTGGCAGCCACTGTGAAAAGAGAGGGAAAGTGGATTAGCAGGGAGAGGTGGTGTCCTGAGAAATAACCTCCATTTGGGAGAGAGCAAATGAGAAAGAGGCCAGAGAGATAGAAAATCAGAAGTGGAAGTAGAGACAGACCCAGCAGTGAGAAGGCGAGATCAACAGGCTCCAGACTCAGCTTCTCTCCCACAAAGAACCAGGCTCTGCAGCCAAAACGGATCTCCAGGGAGGAAGGGGTCCTAGGAGGATGTGCCCTCAGCACTCCTCACTTCAGAGGCCGCCCAAGCCACCCCTCTCATAGGGACTCTGCCTGCCACTCCCCCCCCATAACCACTTTTGCTCACCTGGGAGCAAAAGAAGGAGCAGGATGACACCTGAAGGGGCCATGGTGGGCAAAAGGCTTTGGTCCAGAGAAGTCCTGAGGAACAGTGGAGGAGTAAAGAAGCAGAATAGCGGATGTCACCCTGCTGGTGGCAACGTCACCTGCTTCCTGTGTGAGGGTGTGGGAGGGGGAGAAGTAAAAAGTGGGTCCCTGGGACTGCCTTTGGGGATGAACTGGGGGTAGGGTCAGAGCCCAGGGAGGCTCCTATGATCGTCCAGGCAGGAGAGGACGGATGGCCCGGGTTGTGGGCATTGAGGAGATTCTGGGGATATTTTGGAGGTGGAACCAACAAAACTTGCTGGTCATGTATGTATGGGTGTGTATGAGAGAGAGGGATTCAGGATGACCAAAGCTTCTGGACTAAGCTACTGGAAAGACGGAGCATTCCTTGACAGAGATGGAGTAGGAGGGGAGAGTAGATTTAGAGGAAAGTGCCAAAGTCTGGGGACACCGAGTTGGAAATGCCTCCTAGATCTCCCTGCAGCACTGAATGACCACAGCTGCATCTGTGAATTCAGGGATAAGTTTCTGGCCTGAGATGTAAATTTTCGGGTTGATGGCTTATGAATGAATAAAGCCACGGGACTGGATGAGATCACCCAGGAAGTGAGTTCAGACAGAGGAGTGCCCCTGGCCCCCAAGAATGGGTGAAGAGGTGGAAACAGCCCAGGAAACTGGGAAGGAACAGTATGTGAGGGAGGAGAATCAGGACAGCCCAAGTCTTGAAAGTCTGGGAGAAATGATTAACATGGCCACCGAGATGGGAACTGAGAACGAGCCTCCCCTGGGAATGTCAGTTGGCTTGAGGGCTGGGAATTCCTGTCCGCTTAGTTCACAGCTTTACCACGGCCCCCAGCAAAGGGCCTCTCTTGAAGTAATAAATAATCTTTAATGACGAATGAATAAATGAGAACTGACCTCTGAACAAGGTGATGTGGGGAAAGGGAGAAATTTGAGTCTACCGATGTCACTCTTACCTACAAACCTTCCCTCCCTTGGGACTAGGAGTCCCGAATCCCAGCCTCCTCTTACCCTGGGACTCGGGAATACTATTCTTTTCCAGCCCAGGCTCCAGAAATCAAAGCCTCCCCTTCCAACCCAAGCCCCCCAAATCAAAGCCTCCGGTACCCCCTTGGACAGAGACCCAGAAGTCCAGGCCCCCAGTGCCCTCCTCCTTCAGGTGTCGGCAATCCCTGGCCGCTTCACCCTCAGACCAAAGATGGGGGCCCCCAGCTCCCTCTTTCCAGGTAGGAGGCTCCGGAGTCAGGCCCTCAACGTCAGCCCCGCCCATTCAGAGACTGGGCTAGATCAAGCGCGACACGGGGACTCCCGGGTCTGTGGGAGGGGCCCTGCCCTTGACTGGGCGGTGCCAAGAAGTCCAGTTTAAAAACTCGCGGGGAACAGGCCCTAGATCGGGGACCCGGCGGCGGCTCCGCGGGGGAAGAGCGAGGCTGGCGCAGCGCCGAGGCCGCGGCCCTGGGGGCCCGCAATCCGCGCCACGGAATCCGCGAGGTAATGGAGGGGGTGGGGAGGAGAAGCATGCTCGGCCCCTTGGGAGAGCGAGGGCTGGGAGTCCGGCTCTCACGAACCTGCGGGACTGAGCTGGAGTATTAAGCCTGGGTGCTGGGAGTGAGCGTACTCGGTGTTTGAAGGGGGTAGGGGTCCGGGACTTATGGTGGTGATGGAGGAGCGGCTGGGATTCTGGGATCCTGGGTGGGTAAGGAACCGGGGATTCGGAATTCTGGGTCGGGGGGTGGGGTGAAAGGGCTGGGAGCCCCGACCCCTGGGTACTGTGGGAGGAGGGGGCTGGCGGCCCGGTCAGATAGCTCTAGAAAGGAGCTAGACGGAGTCCTGGGGGCGTGGTTGTTTAAAAAATCAGCCACGAGTCGGTGTGGGTAAGGAGGCGCCCTGCCGTAGGGGGCCCACGCTGGCCTTGACCCTGCCCGGGCCCCGGGAATTCCCGAGTCGCCACCCACCCCGGGTCCCCGGGCGGAGCAGGAATTCCCCACGTGCGGGGATTCCGAGCGCTCCACGCCTGACCGCGCGCGCCACCTCTGAGCGGGACACCTGCGGCGCGCCGCCGAGAGAGGAAGGGGTGGATGGAAGATTCCCTTGCGTGAGCGCCGTGACGTCAGCACGTCGTGTCTGGGCTGTTTCCGAGTCCGCCCTCCCCCGCTTAACCCTTCCTCTGCTGGAACCCGCGCTTGGAAGGGTGAGGGTTGAGGGTCCGGACTTCCGGGGTGGTGCGGACCAGGCTTCTGGAAAGTGGGACTCCCAGGTGCAAGGGAGGGCGAGGCTGAGGGCCCGGACTCCTGGGTCCTGGGGAAAGGGGTGTTAGGCGCTCAGAGTTCCGCAGAATGGGGCCTGGACTCTTAGGTCTGAAGAGGGAATGGGGTCTGGACTTCCGATCCCCGACGAGCTAGAGGGCTATTGATTCGTCCTTCTTTGGGGAGAGGGCCCGGGGACTCGGACGCCTGTTTTCCCGGGAAGTGTGTCGAGGACAGAGAGGTGTTGGGAACCTGAATGTGCAAGTCTCCTGGGAGTGATTCCCAGCGACCCCCAAGACCTCGGGACTGGGAGATCTGGGGGCTGGGATTTTTCACGGAAGGTGTGGGGTGGTGCTGCAGAGGAGCGCCCTCCTCAGTTTCCGCGACGCTGGTGGAAAGTTGGGTCAGAGGGGAAAGTGCGGAGCAAAGGGAAGGAAACGGCGGAGGCGGAAGCTGCACCTGAAAGCTTAGATTGGCTTTGGAGTTCTCAGGCGTCGTCAGTGTGCCAGTTTTTCCGCGCAGGAGGGTGAGGGAGGGTGCCCGAGTCCACTCCCCCACATAGTTGGGTGACTTAAGGAACTCTGATTGCTTCCTTCCCCTCTCCTTCTGCTCCCGCCTCCCCCGCAGTGAGCCGGAGTGAACGCAGCCACTGCCCATCACAGACCGTGAAGAAGCTCCTAGAAGAACAGAGGCGCCGTCAGCAGCAGCCTGACGCTGGTGGGGCACCGGTAAGGTCCACGAAGCCCTCTAAACTGTAACTCGTGAGGCCATGTCCTGTTGGGCAGACACTTGATGGCTTGTGAGCCCTTGACCCTCCGAGCAGATCAGAGATGTAGTCCTGACTTAGATGCGCTGTGGGCGGGGCATGGATGCTGAGGGATCTGTCCCATAAATTACCCCTTTTTCCTTTTTTTTTTTGTTTTGTTTATCCCTCTACAGGGACAGTTTCCATGTCCCCTGGCCCAGTCCCTGACCCCATCTGTGAATGAGAGTGAGGCTGGTAAGTCTGGAAACTCACCTGGTTCCCTCAGCTCACCTCCCCAGCTTTCTTCGGGGACTCAAACATTCCAAATCTTAGAACTTTGGGGAACTTGGGAGTTAGACCCTCTTTCTTGCTGGGACCCGGTAGCAGTTTGATCGCCCAGATTCTCTGGAGCCCATGGGTCTATGTACACAGTCCTTCAGTGTTCAAGGGGCCCAGGCTCCCAGCCTTTTGCACCTCCCGGAGTCTAAGCCCTCAGCCCTCTGAGTCCCAGCCCTTTGGCGTCCCACAAGTACTAGCTCTCAGGACCCTGTGAGATTCCAGGCCCTCACCCCCGTCCTCCAGCCTTGGTCATGACTTCCCCAACCCTGGTAACCAGGCCTGCCCCTGCTCCTCCTCTCACACACAGGCCATTCTCGCTTCCCAGTACACCAAGAGACTGTGGGTTCTGGACTTGGCAGCCTGGCTCCCACCACGGGCTTTCCAGACTGGGACCCCAACACGCATGCTGCCTACACAGACAGCCCCTACTCTTACCCTGCTTCTGCTGCTGAAGGCTTCCCGACTCCTGACTTCTACCCACCCTCCGACTCAGGGCGGCAGTGTCCATTTTCTGTGGGGATGGAGGTGAGATACAGAGTGGAACAGGATGCTGAAGGGCCCCTAAAATTCCCAGTTGCCCTTGTGCTAGATTAAGAGCCTGTTCTTCACATGGGCAAAACTGAGGCCCCAAGGTCCAAGGTCACTCGGTACAGATGGGGCACCCAGCCACCCTACCTGGCGCTCTGTGTGTGTGTATGTATATATGTCAGGAAAAGGAGTTCTCAGCTGACTGGCTCTGCCCACCACGTGTATCCTTCAGGACCCTCTAGATACCCGGCTGTATGGAGAACCTTCCCTGCCACAGGCAGGATCCTGGAGAGGTTCTGGACTCCCCTTAGGACCCCCACAGTTGCCCCCCGTGGCCACCGGGCCATCCCTGGACACAGCCCGTGCTCACATGCTGGCTCTGGGGCCACAGCAGCTGCTGGCCCAGGATGAGGAGGGAGACACGTGAGTATGGGGATTGCAGTCTGCCTGTTCCTGGCTTAGCTGGGGTTCTGCGCTCACTGCTTGTCCTCTACCTGTCCTCAGGCTCCTGCACCTGTTTGCGGCTCGGGGGCTACGCTGGGCAGCGTATGCTGCAGCTGAGATGCTCCAAATGTATAGACATCTGGACATTCGTGAGCATAAGGGCAAGGTGAGGGCCAGGGGCCCAGGCTGCTGGATTTGAAGGCAGGAGGTCTGGGGGCCTGGATTATTGGTTTTTCAAAGGGGAGGAGACCAGGGGCCCAGACTGACCTTATTTCCTGCAGACCCCTCTCCTGGTGGCTGCTGCCGCCAACCAGCCCCTGATTGTGGAGGACCTGCTGAACCTTGGAGCAGAGCCCAATGCCACTGATCATCAGGGACGTTCTGTCTTGCATGTGGCTGCTACCTATGGGCTCCCAGGAGTCCTCTCGGTATGACCAGTGGGCCGGTGGGGAGAAGGGGTTGGACTGGTTGTTCAGGCCTGGGGAGACTCGACTCCAGCACTGTGCCTTCTCCTCCCCAGGCCGTGATTAACTCGGGGGTTCAGGTTGACCTAGAAGCCAGAGACTTCGAGGGTAAGCTGGGTGGTGGGCAGGGAGGGTGTGGCAGGTGGGGCTGGGGTAGGTGGTTGCCTCAGATGCAGAGCCCTCACCACCTCTATCCTGCAGGCCTCACCCCTCTCCACACAGCCATCCTGGCCCTCAACATGGCTATGCACCCACCTGACCTATGTTCCCGGGTGCTGAGCACCCAGGCCCGAGACAGGCTGGCTTGTGTCCAGATGTTGCTGCACATGGGTGCTGATCACACCAGCCAGGTGAGCTGGGCAGTGGGCAGCCGGCCCCTAGAAGGGTGTGTGGGATGGGGCACCCGGACCTCCAGGGCATTCAGACAAATTGACTTTGCTTCCTGCCAGCCATGTGAACTTGAGCACATGGCTATGTTTCCCAGGGCCCCAGAGAAGAAGATCACTGATCTTAGGTTGTACTTACTATTCATCAGGCATCGAGTGTCATGGATTAGCTAATCGAATCCTCACCGACCCCCTTTGACAAGTGCGCTGTTATTACTTTTACCTCTTTACTCATAAAGAAACTGAGGCATACGAGTCAAAAATCTTAGAGCTTGTAAGAGTCAGAGAGGGGATTAGAATCAGGTAGCCTCATGCCAGAAAACACAGACTCTCTCACTCTCCTCTCTCTCAAAAAAATAAATAAAATCTTTAAAAAAAAATAAAAAGAATTTTGAACACTGATAAAATATAGAAAATAGTATATTCACAAAAAATTATGTATTTTAAGTGAAGAACTCTTTTAACCTCAATACCATCATTTCACCTTAAAAAAAAATTTAAACTCATAATATCAAGTATCCTGGCTGTGTTCAAATTTCTGATTGACTCTAAAGTGATATACATTGTTTGTTTTTTAAGATTTTTTTTTTTATTTGTTTATTTGACAGAGATCACAAGTAGGCAGAGAGGCAGGCAGAGAGAGAGGGGGAAGCAGGCTCCCCTCCAAGCAGAGAGCCCAATACAGGGCTCTTTCCCAGGACCCTGGGATCACGAACCAAGCTGAAGGCAGAGGCCTTAACCCACTGAGCCACCCAGGCGCCCCTTTTATGTTTTTTTTTTTTAAAGATTTTATTTATTTATTTGACAGATAGAGATCACAAGTAGGCAGAGAGGCAGGCAGAGAGAGAGGGGGAAGCAGGCTCCCAAGACCCTGGGATCATGACCTAAGCCGAAGGCAGAGGCTTAACCCACTGAGCCACCCAGGTGCCCCTACATTGTTTTTTTATTAAAAAAAAAAAGAAAAAAAAACCTCAGACCCAAATAAAGCCCTCATATTGCCATTGTAAGACTTTTAAAATTGTTCTTAATTTAGAGCTTTCTCCTTTCCATCTTCTGGTCTCCTCTTCATTATCTGTTTGGTGAGCCAGCTAGGTTGTTTTGTCTTGTAGAAACACAGCATATTTTTAATGAGGGCACATAATAAGGTCTCATTGTGGAAAATATCTTTATTTGCTCCAAAATATGAAGAGAACAACTCAATAGGGAAGTATGTATGGGTTTGTTGAGTCCCCTGATTAATGCTGTTCAAGTCCCATCCTTATAGATCAAGTACAGTCCGTGTGGGATGTGGGTACATTTTACCATGCCTAATGGAATGTGGGGTAGCCAGGGCAGCTGCAAGTGTAGAGTGCCTTTGGAGGATTAGGTAAGAGCCTTCTTCTCAAAGACACTTGGGCTGGAAAACTGTCAAAAGAAACATAGTTCTGTGATGCAAAGGATGCGAATGGCATCCCCTTAAAGGTGATAGTCTTGTATAGTGCACAACATAGATAACTGTGTAAGGAATCCCTGGGTGCTTGCAAAGGAGAGACAAGGTGTCTAAAGGCTCTTGGATTCCATGGGAGGGGCTCTGGGTGTGAGAATTGGCCTGACCTCCGCCGTTCCTTTCTCTACAGGAGATCAAGAGCAATAAGACCGTTCTGCATCTGGCTGTGCAGGCCGCCAATCCTACCCTGGTTCAGCTGCTGCTTGAGTTGCCGCGGGGAGACTTGCGGGCCTTTGTCAACATGAAGGTGGGGACCTAGGTTGGAATGGGCAATTGTGTGAGATGTGACGGAGAAGAGCGAGGGGCTTGGAGAGGCCTGTGGGCTGTGGCAGTGGCAGTGGCAGGGACAACGTAGAGAACCCAGGTGGGGACCGGATAGGATGTGGATGGCTGTAGATTGCAGGAATGTATGGGACATAGACCGAGGGGTGTGTGGAATGTGACTGTGGAGGGGATTCCGGGATGTGAGTAGGGGCACATGGAATACGGCTGGGAAGGCAGCAGTGTTGGACTCTGGAGTGTACTGTGGAAGGCCCAGGCCAGCTGAGTCTGCATCTTTATCAGCCCTCCCCTCACTGTCCCCAGGCCCATGGGAACACAGCCCTCCACATGGCGGCTGCCCTGCCCCCTGGACCACCCCAGGAGGCCATCGTGCGGCGCCTGCTGGCAGCTGGGGCGGATCCAACATTGCGAAACCTGGAGAACGAGCAGCCTGTCCACCTGCTGCGGCCTGGGCCGGGCCCCGAGGGGGTGAGTGCTGAGCCCACCCTGACCGCAGAGTGGCCCGTGACCTAACGGGCTGAACCCCTGACCCTACCCACTCAGGACTTTAGAGGGTCTGTGGCCCTGGCCTCTCTTTCTAGCCTCCCTGACTTCTCCCCTTTCTTGTCCGCAGCTCCGACAGCTGTTGAAGAGGAGCCGTGTGGCACCCCCAGGCCTGTCCTCTTAGGACTCAAACCCAGAACCTGGACTGATTTTCCAGTCCCCACCGTCCTGTGGGACAGCCAGCGTATGCTAATGTTGCAAATCCATGATAATGTATGTGGAATGTCCTGCCATCAGGGTCTTACATTAAAACCCCAAAATGGCTGCCCGGGGGGGGTAAACGATCCCCAATATTTGGGGTGGTGTAATACCCCTCCCCTACCCACAAGGAGCCCTCTTGATGATTTCTGTGAAATCGAGGCCCCTTGATTGTTTCTGTGAAACACCCTAGACCCCTAACCCTTCCTCCATGGGGATCTTCTGGGACCCCCTCCCCTACTCAAGTTCAGTTCAACTCACCTAGAATCCCAGATGTGATTTCCCTACACAGTACTTGGGGTACCCCCAGAATAGCTCCCACTGTCATCTGGTAGAGTTCCTGAGATGACTCCCCAAACCCACACCATTCAGGTCCTTACCCCTGAGACATAGGAAGGACTCTTCCTAGATTGGAGTTCCCTAGGTCCTGTGCTTTCTAATTCAGAACTCAACTGGCAAGGCCCCTATCCCAGATCTCCGCATTTCCGGTGAATCCCTCCCCTATTTGAAATGCCTTATTAAACTCAGTTTGGACAACGTCGTCATTGTCTTAATCTCCGGGGGCACTGGTGCAGGGGAGCGGCCGTGGTGCTTGGCTGAGGAGGCATGTTTGGATGACTGTGTGGGTGGGGCATGTAGCAGACTGTGGGTGCCAAGTCTGCGTCCTTCACCCCGTTAGTACCTGGTGGTCTGACTGCCTGTGGATATCGTGAGACCACTGGTGTCTGCTCTACCCTGGGGATGAGCCAGGTAGCCTTAAGTGCCAACGAGTTGATGCCCTTTCCCGTCTAACAGCCCTCAAACCAGAGACTGAAAGGAGATGGTATAGAAGGACGCCAGGTCCCTCACCTCTCTGTGAGGGTAAATGTGGAAGTGTGTGTTCTACACATGCTCTCAGAATTCCCCAACAGAATTAAGCTTCAGTTCCCCGTACTGGTTCTGGCTTGATGACATCCTTTCCTGACTGCTTTCCCTTTTCTGTGTCCTTTCCCACCTCCCCTACCAATAGATTGTCCTCAAATCCTGCTTCTGGAGAGACCCAAACTAAGAAGACCTCCCAATGCCCCTTTCTCATAACTGCCCCACAGTCTCTGCTCTGGACTTCATCCCACTCTTATCACCAAAAGAGCCCCACTGAAAGCCCTCTGACTCATCTTAACCCCTCACTGCTCAGAGCCTCTCATAGACAACAAACAAGCCTACTTGGGGGCATGTACCCATGTCTCCATCCCAAAAGTAAAGGCTTGAAACAACCATCACTATTCGCTAATGATCCTACAGTCTGGGCTGGGCTCAACTAGACAGTCCTGCTTTGGTCACTCATGCAGCTGCGGTCAGCTAGGCCTGCTTGGGCTGGGCAACTTTGCTCACATGTCTGACAGCTTAGCTGGGACCACTGGGAGTGGGCCAAGCACCCTTTCCTCCATGTGGTCTCTCCAGGAGCGTGGGTGGTTCCAAGAGGAAGTGTTCTAAGAGAATACGTACTTGCTTGCCTCACACTTGTTGACATCACATTGGTCAAAGTCATTTACATGGCCAAGCCCAGAATCTGGGGAGGGAGCATTACTCCAGGGCTTGAATATTGGGAGGCATAGTTTCCGGAGCCCCCTGTGTTAGCCTTCCACATCAGCAGCCCTGTACCAGCATGCACTGCTCTTCTGAGGATGCACATTGTGGCAGCAGACCTGTGAAGAATTCATAGGAACGTTATTCCATAGATTCTAAGAACTTAACTGGAAAGCATCTTATAGTCATTGTAGGGCATAGTTTAATTTCTGTATTTCTTCCTTTGCATAAAGGTATTTTATCTATCTAGCTATCTATACACCTATCTGTCTTAGAAAGTTTGTGAGTGGGGAGTGGGGCAGAGGGGGAGGGAGAGGGACGAGCACACTCTGTGCTGAGTGTGGAGCCCAACATGGGGCTCCATCCCAGGACTCATGATCACATCCTCAGCTAAAACCAAAAATTGGATACTCTAAGAACTGAGCCACCCAGGCACCCCCATAAGGATATTTCTTATCATTGATGGTATCTTAGAGCCTACTGACATATAAGATGTATATATAAAAAGAAAAAAGATGTATATCCCAAGATGTATCGACAAACACATGCACACACATATTAAAAATGAGAGAATGATAAAATGTCTCTAAGAAACTGTATTATTAAAATAAAAATGAACAAATTGTTTTCAATGGGAAAAAAAGGGCAGCTTAATGGCACAAGAACATCAAATGAACAATAGCAATCCCCTGCTGGAATTCCAGTAATAAGTCTTTTTAAACGAATTACCCTAAGTATCACCGTTAATATGTAAACATTAGTAAGGAATCACACGCTGAGCATACTGAGCAAAATGGCCTTTCACTTCTTGTCCCACGGGCTTGGAGCTCCTTATTCAGTTAGCCTGTTGATCACCCTTGACAGTGAAAACACAAAGGCAGCATTTCCCCCCCGTCTGTGGTGCTAGTCATAGATTTCTGCTAGGTACAGTACAATGCAACTAAAGGTTTAGCCAGTATCAGAATGATGTTGGAAACCGGGTTCTCCAACGAAGCTGTGGCATTGTATGCAACTTGCGTCGTGTAGGCATTTTCTTCCCGATGTCTTCTAAGTCTATATTTAATATACATGACTTGTAATTACATGTATATATTATGATGAGACACTCTGAGCTCATAGGCTCTTTGGAAGAAAATCTAATTCTAGGAGTTTCCTCCCTAGGCCATCTGCCAGAAAATTGTGTACTAAGCTGACATTAGAGCATGACATATTACTGCCACCTGCTGGGAAGTTGTGGTAAAAAGGCAAGTCTACAGTGTGTAGAAAGTGAAAGTTATCACTTGGAATTTTGCAGTGTACACCCTGAACAGCATATGGGACAGCCTCAAATTACTGGACAGCAGGTTAGCAAAATGAGTAAGAATATGGTTGCTGGAGCCAGGTTGTCCCGGTTGAATCCCTAGCTCTGACCCTTCCTAGATGGTGACCATTGGCATGTTATGTAACTTCTTACCTCCATTTCTTAACCTATGAAAGGGAAGAGTGATAGTACCTCCTACATGGGATAGAAGTAATGACTAACTGTGTCATTGTACGTAAAAAGCTCTGGGAGCAGTGCCTGCTATAGGGTTAGTGCCTTATGAGCATTTGCTGCCATACCATTTTAAGATTGTATTTATTTATTTGAGAGAGAGAAAGAGAGAGAGCATGGGGGGGGCAGAGACAGATGGAGAGGAAGAGGCAGACTTCCCCACTGAGCAGGGAGCCCAATGCAGGTTAGACCCAGGACCCTGGGATCATGACCCGAGCCGAAGGCAGACACTTAACCAACAGAACCACCCAGGCGTCCCTGCTTCCATATTGTTTTAAAATTTATTTAACATCAAAAAAAATGATTTAACAAATACTTACGAAATAGCAGGCACAGTTCTAACATCTCCACAAATATTAACCCTTTTAATTTCCATAACAACCCTCTTGGGGCAGGGAAAAACATATGCAGATGGTTAACCCCAACGCCATAAGATGGGGTGCATGAGGGTTTAAATTCTAATAGGCATTTGCGGACATCACATTCCCCTCTCTGGGACACATAACTGGAATTTACATACTTCAGGGGGATTCCTATTGCCTCCCAAAAAGGGATGAAAACTTGTGAATAGGAAGAGGGGTTCAAGATTCTCATTCCCTTCTTGGAATCGCAGGTTGGGGGTGGATGCTATGTGTGAATGAGTGTGAGGGTGAATAGAAGGCAGGAGAAACTGCCAGAACACAACTTCCTCGGAGTCTATCTTGGGATTTAGCAAATAGAGGTCCCGAAGTAATAAACTGTTCAGCACCACGGAAAGCTCCTGAGTGGGCAGGGGGAGGCTGTCCAGCCTGGGCCCCGCCCCCTGCACGCCAATCCTAGCCCTCCTACAGGTTCCGCCCAGATTTTTAGATCCCAGATCTTCAAGCTCCTTCCCATTGTTTGAGGAGGTGAAGGAGGCCTGGGCAGGGATCCACAGCAGCATCCAGAGCTATGATTACACACCGATTCCCCCACAGAGACGCAGGATGGCATGGTGGGGGAAGGATTTTATTGGCTTGTTAGTGGGGAGCACATGGGAGGGTGAATTCTAGGGAACAACAGACACTGGGACCAAGCTGGTGGTCACCTTAAGGAACAATAAATTAACTTACAAAATAAATTAAGGTGAGGGAATCCCAAGCAGGGAGGCAGCTGGGAATATCTGGGGATTTCTTGGGAATGGAATTTGGAATTGGAAAGGGGAAATAAGAACTTCCAGCCCCCTCAAAAAGGGTGTGAAATGAACATTTTTGAGGGCCCCCCAAGGCTGGGAGTTGGGGTTCTGGGGCTCCAGAAAGAGGGAAGGTCTGGGCTCAGCCAAAGGGGGTAAAGGGGGCTGGTTCAGGGTCGTTCCTCCAGGAAGCGGTAGGTGGGGTTCTCATAGCCATGACGCTGCAGTTCCCGCAGCTGCTGCTCCTCCAGGGTCAGCATTGGGTCCACCTGCAGTAGGGACCGGGAACAGAGGGGCATAGGGACCTGACCACAGATCTCACAGTTCCTTTGTGTCCAGAGTCTGGAATTCCTCCCCCATCCCATGTCTTTGTGTCTCTCACCTCCACCACTCCATGGCTAATAGCCCCATAGGGCTTCTTCTTGCGCAAGAGCAGCAGTGAGAGGACAATCAGGGAGCCCCCACCTGCTCCCATGATCAGCAGACCAGACACGGCCTCTCGGGACACTCCTGTCCCTGCTGGTGCCTGCATGGAGAGGACATGGGGCAGAGGCCATCTCTGAGGCTCACCAAGGCCCTGTGTGGCTTTGGGAGTCACAGCCTAGCCACTGACTTCTGACCTCTCCCCCTAAGTCCCCAGAATAGTCCTCCTCTTACCAGCTCATCTCTCTGAATCTCCGATGAGTGGAAAGGAAAACCCCTTGGAACAGACACATTCACCTGGGGAAGCAGGAGGTGTCAGCGACTCAGGAGTCTGGGCCCCGGCCTCCTCCACCCCTGGGCCCCAGTAGGGCATCCCCCAGTCTCCTTCTTCCCTAGGATCCCGAAATCCATGTTCTCAATCCCTTCTTCCCTCAGGCCAAGGAATCCAAACCCCTAACACCCTCCTTCTTCAGATGCTGGAGTCCAGGACCCCTCTCCCATCGACCCTCAGGCTCCCACAGGTCTGACTTACCTTTCGCTCATACTGCTCCAGGGGGGACATCTTCTCTTTCCCAGAGGATGCAGCATCTTGTTCTGTGGACCCTAACCCCCAAGTCCTATCTTATTCCTGAGAGTTGAGAATGGTGCTATGCCTGCCTGAGGAGGCAGTAAGAAGGGGCTCCGGACTCTACCCAGAAGGTCTGGAGTTCCCAAAGGATGGACCCTTTCCCATTCTGGGCTCAGGGACTAGCGGGATTTGGTGGCTGGCGTCTGCTCTGGGAGATACTCACCTTTCGGAAGGGCCATGGGGGTGTCTGCGGGCAGCCAGAGGAGGCAAGACAGGCAGAACAGTGAAGAAAG